ATCGCCCAGAGTCCCCTATTGTGGGGGAGATGGGCGGGGGAGAAATCCAACAAATAAAAAAATACATTCTGTATGAGTAATGCTCAACTGTCTCAAATGGTCCACTGTTAAGCTTTAAAATATGCTTTTCAAGTTTAGTTTTCAAAGCCAATTGATTTTTTTAGTGCTTTTGATAGCCCCTCCGTTATGCCCTAGTATGAATACTCCAACAACGTACTTAACCTTTATGCTTGAAGTGGACTGTGTCGTCCATTTATTTCTGAATAGAAAAAAGATGTCACAGTAAACAGAGATTATCACAAAACATTCATTAGTTTATGGAGTTCTAATTACATTTGAGTGAGTGCTAATGACTATATCTTACTTGCTTAAACCAACAGATTATAGCACTGATTCTTTTATTAAATACTTCTGCTGCAAACGTTCAGTAGAAGAAATATCTAATGAGAAAAGCGCTTTGCAGTAGACATACCTCTGTCTACTGCTGACACAAAGATGAAGTCATCAAAAAAATCTGTTTATAGCATCTCAATTCATGTGGGAGTGGATCACTTAGCACATCCTATGTCTCTTCCTATCAGGGTTTTGCTAATAAAGAAATTTTATTATTAAGTTTTTGGTTTTCACTGGTATTCAGGACTTGGCTCTGCTCTCTTGGGCATATCCAGAGTAGACGCATAGCAATCAAGTTAAATTTATTGGGAGTTATATCTGCTGGTAGATTTTTGTTCTGCCTTTTCTCTAGAAGCTGAGGACAACATATGTAGCACTCCAGCCACCAATTTCAGCTCAAAATAACAGTCACCCAATAGGGCCACTCTAAAGCTGTTTAAATTTAGAAACAATCCTAAGACTCCTATATTAATTAACAATCCTATACAGTGGTATCTCTACTTAGGAACGCCCCTACTTACGAATTTTTCGAGATATGGCCAGCTCCGGCCCCCAAAATATACCTCTACTTACGAACTCGCCTCGACTTATGAACAGGATCCGCGGCCATTTTCCGCCCGTTCCACGTGGTCCGCGGCCATTTTCCCGCCCATTCCACGTGGTCCGCGGCCATTTTCCACCCATTCCACGTGGTCCGCAGTCATTTTCCGCCTGTTCCACGTGGTCCACGGCCATTTTCCGCCCGTTCCACGTGGTCCACAGCCATTTTCCCGCCCGTTCCACGTGGTCCGCGGCCGTTTTTCCACCCGTTCCATGTGGTCCGCGGCCATTTTCCGCCCATTCCACATGGTCCATGGCCATTTTTCCACCCCTAACACGTGGTCTGCGGCCATTTTTCCACCCCTGACATGTGGTCTGCGGCCATTTTTCCACCCCTGATGCGTGGTCCACAGACACCGGTACGGATTAACGGTAATTACATTGAACCTTATGGGAAAATTTACGACTTGCGACCAA